CACGTGGGTCCGAGACTGGTGCTAAACATCCTATTGATTGTGCCGCTCCTTCAGGGCAAAAGCAACTTCAGAGCCTTAGTTAACTCCCTCCAGCCTCCTGCCAGAGCTTATGGATTGGTCGCTCGCCACTAAGCTGCCTGTCCTCCGGCATATTGTTTTGTGCGCCTTGCACAGTCAATATTAAGCTTGGCTAATGTGATATAGAGGCAGCTGGAGGAGCCTCAGTTATTACCATGACACTGCGGAGTGAGGGGTGTAATGCCATTAAAAATAAATCAGCTGGTTTGATGATTTGGCATGGTAGGGGGATTTTGGAAGACATTTGTCGGGGCAGTTGCTATAATTCTATTATGTATTCTAAAGAGAACCTCGGAGGAACAATTGAGGCCCTTCCCCTAATTCAACATAATTCAATTTGTTTCCACCAAAGGCCTCAAAAAGGGGAAGGGCAAAATAGAAAGTTTACTTTTCCAATTGGAAAATCAGCAGCCATGGAGATCATTTCTGCTTTTCTAGTTAAAACACAGATGTTGAGGAACACCTTGCAGACAAGAAATATGGTATAGCCTTTGCTTTGCTTTTAGAAATACTGGCCAAATTGAGTTAGAGAATACAGCACATAGTGCTTGTGCTCCTGGTACAAATTAGATGCATCTATGTGTGCATGCTTGTTTTTGTATATTTTCAGTACGAAAATGACTTGAATTTGTAAGAAAGCCAAAGAGCTTTTACAAAAGCTCCATGTTTTATTATCATTTCTGTTTTGGTTAAGATTAGGGTTTAGGGTTAGAATATATCTCTATTTTTCTCATTTTTCAGTTTTTCACATTATTTGAAAATGCCTATTGCCCTTTACACTTTGTGTAAATTAATGGACCAATAGAAATGAAACAGAATGACTGTGAAAAAGGTCTGGTTCCATTGACTTACATTAAAAGTAAAGTAGGTTTTTTGCTTCTCCTTTAAAGTTATCATTTTTGAGATATGAGGTTTTGCTCCGACAACAGCGATATATAGATAATTATGGGACATATTACATATAGATTCGTACATGTGTTTTATATATATGGCAGATATTATTGCATATAGGCACTTATATAATACATTTGGAACATAAGTATATATAGGTACTTACATATATATAATAAAAAAAATATGACACGTATGACTCCATGTCCTAATTTTGTATAAAAACGCGTGTGTGTGTGTGTGTGTGTGTGTGTGTTTGGAGGGGGTCTGGTCGGGGGGTTGAGGGGATTTGACTGGGAGATTTAGGGAACGTGAGGCCTAGAAATTAATCTATTTAATCGGTCTGAAGACGGGTGACTTCTCTGTCCGCTCGGCAGACTCCACTTTGCATAGCAGATACTTTTTAAAGCGTGCACGTGAGGCCTCTGTCGCCCTGCCCCCGTCTGCCCTCACACAGGACACAAAGATTATAGTCTCCAAGAAAAACCATTCTGTGAAGGTTTTACATCCGATCACTTTTCATTTGTTTTTGCTGTTATGGTTGTAGTTGTTGTTGTTTTCGTAACAGGCCTCTAAAGTTAACGGTACTTATAAACAGCACTTTGTGCTCACATTGGATTTAAACTGTTTGGGTGAGTTCAGGTAAAGTGGGACCTTCAGATCAGCGGCAGTGTGTCTTACTGCTTTGCCAGCCAGTGATAACCAATGTTAGTGTGCTGGTGCAGTTTGTGTGTTAAATTTGATTAGATATGTTTGATTGGTGTGACATCATCAGTGTGGGTGTGGCGGCATTTTTTAAATCAAATGCATCAAAAAAGCTCAGGGTAAGAACGATTGCGTAAGAATTCCTGCTCTAAAATGACGTCACAGTCTGTACTTTTGTTAAGCAGCCGTGTAGACGCAACATACGTGTCTTAATTTGATTGGTTGTCTAATAATAAAGCAGCAAACTGTCCCACTCAAGACGAAAGCCATGAGATGAAGGGGGTCAGAGCTCCTCAGCATATCTCAGCCCTAATTAACTGAAACTGATCTGCTGAGTTTGGTTTGAGTGGTTTTGATGGTCTGTTTGCCGCTGAGTGTCCCACTTTACCTGAACTCGCTCTGCTTTATAACGGCCCGCCGGCCAGAGAGCCGTTGGTCTCGCGCTGGGGTTCCACTGACGCCATTGTTCTGCAGCGCGAGACACAAACGGCGATTTCAAGGCCCATTGAGCGCGCGATGGATTGAGCTTAAAATCCACCGAGGGGCGGAGAGGCTTCGATTAGTGCAACGCTAAGAGCAGCAAACCTCTCTGTCCCCCTGCTATCCTCACTGCGACCCCCACAACCAGAGCACTCACTTAAACCAGGCACTGAAGACGCTTTCAGCTTATCTGTCTTCTTCACTTGAGCTGATGTTCCACTGTGCTGGCATCGAATCAGCTGATATTATTATTATTATTATTATTATTATTATTATTATTATTATTATTATTATTATCTCTAAGCTCAAATTGATAGTATAAACCAGAGCTGTTTGTGTTAGGCTACAGTTTTTTGAGAGAATCTGGTAAAAATTTAGATGTAATATGCAAAATTATTGTAAACTGAATCTGGTTTTTTTATTAAACCTTGTGTTCTGAACTGGGACAAGCAGAACGAGAGAAAACGAACCCTCGACACTAAAGAAATGCTGACATCTAGTGGTCACATTGGAGTATTGCATTACTATTGTTTCAAACCCATCTTTTCAGAGCTGGGAGAGCATTTACTGTACAGGTGTAATATTAAGAATGCATCAAAAATGTAATAAGCATGAGGTTTGTGCGTATGATTATAAGAGAAAGAGAATATGTCCTGATTTTAAGCAAAAAGTAAAAATTTGCATCTACACCCTTATATGCATGTATAGTATGTAAAATGCATTATTTTTTCATATTTGTATTTATGTGACGCATTATGCTTGTATTTGATGTGGTGTCACAAATCTGACTAGATTCACTAAAGTCATCATTTGTAATGATGATTTTTGTAGGACGCATTTTTGTCAGTATATTATTAGCATGTCCTTTTACAAATCTCCACAAACCTGCTTTGTGACAGTGTTGAATCAAATTATGTAGCATGTGTTCACGTTTAGTATGTGTCCATAGATTTTGTGTATCCCTCTATAGATCTCTACAATGTTGATTTGCAATAAGTTACTGAATTTAGATGTATCTATGTGCAGTATTGTGTTGTGTGATGATATGCATTTGTGAACCATTGTAACATGTATAAAGCATGCATAGTATATAGTGTGCGTTAGTAGTAGGCAGTATGCATTTTTAGTGTAGTATGCAGTATGCATTTGCAGTATTTAGCTTGCATTTATAGTATGTAGCATATATGTATACTATGTAGTACAGATTTGTAGTATGCATTCTGCATGTACAGCAGGTAGTTTGCATGTTTGTGTAGTATGTAACATGGATTCGTAGTATACAGTATGCATATCGCTGCTGTCGGAACAAAACCTTGTATCTCCAAAATAACAACTTTACAGGGAAGGAAAAAAACATACTCTACTTTTAATGTAAGTCAATGGAGCCAGACTTGTTTACAAGTAATTTTGGGCCATTTAATTTAGTCCAGTCATCATAAAAATTATGCAGAGTGTAAAGCGCAACAGGCATTTTTTAAACTATGCCAAAAACTGAAAAACGACAAAAATGGAGATACAAGGTTTTGTTCCGACAGCAGTGATATATAGCATGCATAATATATAAACACCATAGCATTTATACTATGCAGTATTAATAGTATTTTCGTGTAGTATGTACTATGCATTTGTTGTATTCAGTGTGTATTATTGTAGTATGTTATGAGCATTTGTTGTATGCACAATGCATTGTCATGAAGTATGTAGTGTGCATCTTTAGTATGTAATACACATTTGTGGAATGTAATATGCTAATTTTGTGTAGCATGTGTATGTAGTATGTAGTATGCATTTTTTGTATGTGGTATTAATTTCTGTGTAGCATGTTGTGTGTATGTATACTATAGCATTCATTTTGTTTAGTATATAGTATTCATTTTTGTGTAGTAGTAAGTATTTTTAATATTAAGTGTGCTTTTTTATGCAATGTGTAGTGTGTATATTTTATGTAGTATATATTTGTGGTGTGCATTTTCACACAGTATGTTTTTATATTTGTGTCCAGGATTTAGATGCACAATTAAGAACAAACAGGGACAAAATGAACAGGAGTGGAAAGTATGAAAGTGTGAAATCTATTTTGTGCAATAAGTTCTTTGTGATGCAGCTTTTAGAAGCATTTACCTCTTCAAGCGTCCAGTTCCTATAACCACCAATCCTGACTTTGTTTACATCTTAACTATTCAGGTGTAGCACAAATGATGTTAAAGCGGCTGAATTCACTAATTATTAGAGGTGTATATGCTTTTGGATATATATAGTGTACGAAATCACTGGTGTTTTGTTATCCGGAACAGCAAAGGACGCAGAAGGGACAGTAAGTAAAGACAGTAGAAGTCTCCACTTTTCCAAAAATGCAACTGTGTAAAAATAGAGAGTCTATTAATATCTCCGGCTGGGGACGGTTCAGTCTCTCAAACTCGCATACCTACACCTACACACGGACACGATTCTGACTTATATATAAAAACAAGCCGAGAGTCATGAACAACGCACTCTGTGACAGCACTCCCACACACACTCGCTCTGCACATCACACACTCCTACACCTTTCACACACGCTGTCCTCCTCATCACTGATCTCGTCTGTCCAGTATTCCTACCTGCCAGGCTCTCTCTCTCTGTCTCTCTCTCTCCATCTCTCACTCACAGACACTCTCTATCTATCTTTTCCTCTGACTCACTTTCGCGCTCTCTCTCTCTCTCTCTCTCTCTCTCTCTCATCATCATCATCATCTCTACCACTCTCTGAGGACACAGTGTATCTGACACAGATTCTCTCTCAGCATCTTGCTCACTATCCTCCTGTACCAAACCAGAGCAGAACAAAGAGGACTATATTCATTACACAATTATTTGCGCACATGGCACCAAAAAGAGAACCATCCATCAAGAAATCTCCTTCAGGAGGGACGCTACCAAGACTTGGACCTCCATTCCCTTGTCCTACCACCACACCAGCGCCTCCTAAGCCAGCTCCAGAGCTCAAGCCTCGGCTCCTGCGCCCCTCGGATTCTCCGTTTGACCCCAGCACACTGGAGGTAAGTAATGATTCTGAAACACTGAAGCTTAACATTATCTCATTTAAAAAATTTTAGCATATCTGCTATGTAGCGTAAAACCCACACCTCCCATATTAGGCTACAAGTAAAGTTCATTCACAGGCCTGAGAGGTGGTAACCTTCATAGCAATATAACAAAGGCTACAGGTCAGCAAGCCAATTGAATTTATTCATATGTACACTATGTGTCCAAAAGTTTGTAGACACCTGCTCATCCAACATTTCTTCTGAAATCAAGAGTAATAATCAAAGGAGTTTGTCCTTCTGTGCTGAAGTGCTGAGATGGCTATACACTAGATCAGGGGTGGGGAGCTCTGGTCTTGGAGGGTAAGATTCCTGAACAGGTGATTTTGCTACTCATGCACACCTGATTTAACTCAGCAGCTAATTACCAGGTTTACCTGGTGTGCCAGAGCAGGGAGATCATCAAACCGTGCTGTTCTCTGGCCCTCACGTCCCCCACCCTTGCTCTAGACCAGGCAGGTGAAACTGGGGACCTTCCGGGCCAAAGCGATGAGAAGATTAGTGTTTACCCTCATCTAACGCTCTAAATTCAGTTCATAAAGGCCTTGCTAATTAGCTAATGGACTTAATTAAATGTGTTTAATGAGGCAGCATACTGAAGTCTGCAGTGTTTTGGCCTACGAGGACTGGAGCTTGATGCATGTGCTCTAGATGTTGGAACATTGCTGTGAAAACTGGATTGTATTCAGTCACAAGAGCATTGCTGATGTTGGATGATTAGTTCTGGATCATAAACAACACTCCAGCTCATCCCAAAGGTATTGGATGGAGCTCCATCAGTCTAGAAAATGCAGTTCTGCTGTTTCACAGCCTAGTGCTGGGGGGCTTTATACCCCTCCAGCCAACACTTGGTGCAAGTGACCTTATGCTCATTGGCAGTGCTCTTCTATTGATACAGCTGTGTTTACTGTTGAACGCCTGTTTCAGCAGTAGGTGCACCTTAAAGGTGACTAATTACAAGGGGTGTCTGGATACTTTTGGACATATGATTTATTTTTTTTTTACAATTACTGCCATGCTTTATATATATATATATATATATATATATATATATATATATATATATATTTTAGAGCAGCATCCTTCATTTTGAATAAAACATCAGAGCACTTCCTTGCAATCTTAATTATCCTCTCCAAGGCAAACGGAAATCTATGTCAACCCAGCCCCCAATCCTAGGGAGAATAGTAGTGCTATATGAAGATCTAGAAATAGGACACGGATCAGATGCAGTCTGACGAACACTATGCACCCCAAAACATTATGAACAGCACCCTCAGATGGCCTTTATTACTAACGCCTTCATGCATGATCTGTTTTCATTAAACTTGTACTCATATTTAAGAGAATTTCTTTTTTAAATTAAAGAAAGCTAAAAGTGACTTGAATTGCAATACTGTAGCATGATAGTATAGATATTATATTCTTAATCCATGTTGTGAAATATCTCTCTGATACATGAAGCTAAACCATATTACATGTGCATGTGTTTGCCTTCATTGTCATGCAAAACATCATACATATATCATGCATCAAAATTCATTATATCACAGGGCAGTTCATAATGTAGCATTCATTAATCCATTTTTCCATGGTGTCTGTAAACTATTGTAATTTCCCCACATCTAAGGCTGTGCCATATTTACTGAATATTGTAGATAGACCACAGCTACCACAGGTATCCTTTCTTTAAAGGACCCATATCATGGAAAACTTGCATTTTTTTAAATAAAAGGTTTGATGTACTATGCAAATATTTTCAGAAACTTACTATTCACTCCACACAGTCCATGTCTGAAAATTAAACTGCAAAAATAGCCCATTTTGAATAAAATTACTTTTTGTGATGTCACAAAAAACAATGCATTTAATTATATCCACTTCAGCCTTCAGCAGTTTACTCCTACTTACTGATGCTGACGTTATGAGGAGTACTTCAGCTTGGTGTCTTTTTGAATGAGGGACAATGCAGAGCTGCCAATCAGAACACAAGTCACTTACATAGAAGTCTAAAAAGCATGTTAACAAAAACAACCTATTTAAGTCTGCAAGATAAAGAGGTTGGAAATGGTCATGTACATGTGAGTTATGAGTGTTTTGGTCCATTAACTCAAATAAATGTCATAAGTTTGACATGTGTGTTTGTGTGGGAGGGGGGTATTATATACAAGCAGATGTAGGATATGGGCCCTTTAATGCTTTGTTATTTGAGTTTTGGTGTTTGTTGCTTTGTTCAGGAAATTCTAGTGTATATAAGCACATTCAGCCTACATTTAGCATTTGGCAAACTTACAGAAGTGTAAGCAGTAGAAGGCAAAAAATAAGACAGTCAAATCTGATCTGATTTCTAATCTAGAAGACAAGGTGTTTAATGAAGTGCAAATGTAACGTACATGCAGACATACCACTGATAATGCACTGGCTTATGAAAGCACGCAAACCTCGCCATGTCGGTACATGAAACGTCATGACGTAGGAAGACAGCGTCGCCTCGCAGATTCAAAGTTCATTCGGATCGACTGAAGTTATTCCTTCCTCGCCACATTCACATCCACTCTGTATAGCTATCTGTGCTGGCAGTCCCGCACTTCTCACTACTTACTAGCCGACGCAATTTGACTCTTCCTTCCCTGAAAGCCAAATAGTCCGTGAAGGCGCTTTCTAGTCTTACACACCCTCCTCCTGCTGCAGCTATGGTAACTTGGGCTTTTTAGTGTCTCGCTAACTGGATAAATAGTTACTCTTGAACTATTTTATTTATATTTTAGTATTGAAATATCCCCTAACGTTACGCTCATTCCTTTACTAGCTAGCTTACTTCGCTGTAGAGCCACTCTAGCAAAGCTAACAAGCGATACGGTTCGGTTAGCCTAGCCACCTAGCTAGCTAGCTAACTTGGCTAGTTAGCTGCTGTACGTTTGTGAACGGATGTGGTTGATGTGTTTTAACTTTGCTAAACCATGTTTTAAGACCGTGTAGTACATGTTTTATACAGACAGCAGTATACACTAATACACGATTTGCTGCTGGCTGTCGGAGCTCAATAGCTAACTTGTCATCCAAAGTTGACTTTCTGTCGAAATATATGCGGCTTTTGGCCAGATTGTAACGCTACAATAAATTGGTATTCGTTTTTGAGGTCCTCTTTTGTTAAAAATACCACTTCACCGTCTTCAATAACGCTTTGTCTTTAAACAGTCCGACTTCACAGAAGACCAGATCCTTGGTGAGTTTGTGTCAAGTGAAGACACTGCATGTCTTCAGCCTTTCCCCATTCCGTAACGTAAACTTTGTGTAGTTTTCTTTCTCTCCATTCCCCTACCTACATCACCTGCTTCTTGTCACAGCTGTTATTCTGTCCTTTCAAATCTTTTATCTCCTTCCTTTTTTCCTCACGTTTGTGTATTATGTATTATTTCCCCTTCTGCACCTATTTTGTCCTCCAGATTGAGTTTAACTTGGATCAGATTCATGGTGAGTGCTCTTAAAAGTTCAGCACATCGCCTCAGCTCAGGTAGAAACTTTGTAGTGTCTTCATTCGTCCCGATGAACGATTTTTGTGTGCCTAAGCTGTTGTAACTTGGTTTGCATGCGTTGTTTTAAGTCAAGTAGATGTCACAGACCGCTTACAGGAGTATGCATGCAACATTAACAAGAATTACAAGAAATTGATCATGAAAATGATGGTGAGACATCGAAAGAGCAGGGAAGTGGTCTGGTTGTACTTTGGTGTACTTTATGGTGTTCCTTCCAGCTGCGACATGCCAGGGTGTGTCTCACAGGAAGAAGGCTGTAATCTCGTCACTTTAGATTGTGCTCTGTTTCAATGAAGTAGAGCAAAGTACAGCTTTCCTCTCAAGAGTATTATATTGAAAAATATCTCCCCAACCTAATCTGACACTTTTATCCCCCAGATTTCTTTTTTCTAGAATCAACGACAACCAGCAGGAGTTAAGAAATGATGTAATTATCCAGTGCTTGTTACTGCTACAAAAACAGTTTGGCTTTTTAGATGCTAAAACGATTCTGTTTCTTCTCTTGCCTGGTTTGTTTAATCCGATATGGCTGGCATAAAACTGCTCAGGCTCCTATTCTCTCCAGTACCTTATATGGTTAAAGAGCACATTTCTAGGCTGGAGGGGAGCAGCCACATTCCAGAGAGCAGGAAGCACAACAGAGTCAAGCTATTTATGGGAGGAGGGCCAGCCCAGTTAACTTCTGACTTTAGAGCTCATTTACTGAGAGTTCAGACCAGTGCTGGGAGATATTGATCAAATTTAGTGTAGTGATATTTTTGAAATATGTCATGGTATCAGATGACATTTAAGTAATTTAGCATTAATAAAGTTAGTGAACCTATGGTTCCTGAGTACTGGAACTCTGCACTTAAAGATCATCTCACAAACCTGACACAGCTTGTTTTGACTGCACCGTTTTGTTCTGTTTTCTTAAAATGACCAAAGTTGACAGTATTGTAAGGGAATGCATTTCTGGAAATTTAACAGTTTAAAAGCACCGGGGAAATGGCATACAATGCAGTTACCTGTGCTTTTAATCTGTCAGTATACTAATATATGCTAATACTAATAATTACTGTTATTGCTGTATAAAGGTATAGACAATATCTTGCCCAGCACTAGTTCAGACAACTTATGACATTTTATTATTATTAACAGCATCTTTGTTCTTGCTTTAAGAGTGGATTTTTGTTTGCAGATACTTTGTTTTCTGTTTTGACATGTTTTAGGCATTCATAAGTAAACAGTAAGTAGTCACTTAGGATGTGTCTATATCTGTGGTCTAGGGTGGTACTTAATGCTTCAGGTTGGTATTGTAACAATTGATAAACAATCCACTGGATTACTAGACAGAACTGAAAAGGACAGTGTAATCTTGTCCATGACTGGGGTTAATATACGTCCAAAAAGCCATCCATGTGTATGTGTAAATCTGCACAGTATATATGCTAAGTAAGCATGTATGTTGTCTCGTACTCCATACATTATATATATGGCCATGTTGCGTTAAATTATGTAGTGTGACTGTTGCATCAAACTCAAGTATTCTGTATTTATTACAGTGATTCACAGAAATCACAGAAAGTTCAGTTGAGAAAGCTGTGATACTGACTGATATCAAAGATGATCTGGCATCTGCATAAGTTTATTTATTTATTTTTTTTCCCCCCCAAAGCCTTAACTCCATCAAATGGAGTTAAGCGTTTACCCATGTATTTTGGCCATCAGTGTCACATGAGGCTGAAGCAATATATGGCAGGAATAAGCTGTATGAGACCTGCCTTTTGTCAATATGTATGATTTGCTTCTTGATAACAAAAAAAAAATGTGCTTAAACAGGTCTAGTTTAAGATGGTTGTCAATTTTGCATTGTTTCCTCCTTAACCCAAATGGAGTCAACCAGCGAAGACATATCTGACATCCAAAACTAGCTTATTTAGTTTTATGCTGGGTAAAGGAGACTAATATAGCTAACATTAATGAAAAATAGACAGACTTCAGGCACCAGTGCCTTGGCTGACTGACTATATTTGGGCTAGGGGGGGGAACTATAAATGTGAAATGGTTTTGTTTTTTTTTAAACCCTTTCCGCTGAACTATCGCTTTAACCTTAATGGAAGTTTCGGGGGTCACTTGATCTGTATTAGCTAATCTGAATAGAAAGTCCACAATACAGCCAGGGATGACATTAATATTGATTGCTGGTGCAGTGTTTCTTTGCCCTCCTTCAGGTTACACCCAAGGGGACCTGAAACTCCTGTTCCTATGACAGTGTTAATCACTTCTGTTAACTTGCATTCGTGGAACGCATGCCTATTTTCCTGCTTTGTTGTTACCATATAGGCTAAAATCCTTTTATAAAACTGATCCTGCTTTCATTATAATCCTTTTATAAAACTGATCCTGCTTTCATTATAATCAGTTTCTTTTGCATGTTCTAGCACTTATCATTTTCTCACTCTTGTTTCTTTCTTTCTCTCATAGCCTAACACAGACACCATTTCACATGAGTGTTCCTATTGCTTATTGTGTGGAATTTTCTATCTACAGAATTCAAAGAGGCCTTTCTCCTGTTTGACCGGACGGGTGATGGGAAGATCAGCTATAGTCAGTGTGGGGATGTGATGCGGGCTCTCGGCCAGAACCCTGTCAATGCTGAAGTGCTTAAGGTTCTAGGCAACCCAAAAGCTGAGGGTATGAATCATAAGTGATCACAGGATAAGGCACAGAATGCTGTGCTACTGAAAAATGAAATGAATGAAATGAAATTTATTTTCTTGCACATTCAGATAAAGTAGGAACAGCTGCATGAGTCACATTCATAGATTCTAATTCCGATTTGCATCTGCATCCAGAGATGAACTATAAAATGCTGGACTTCGAGCAGTTCCTGCCCATGTTCCAAGCCATTGCTAAAAATAAAGACCAGGGCTCCTTTGAGGACTTTGTAGAGGGGCTGCGGGTCTTCGACAAAGAGGGCAACGGAACAGTCATGGGTGCTGAGCTGCGCCATGTTCTCACCACACTGGGTAAGCCAACTTCTCTCCAGAGATGGTATTTATAACCCTCTCCCACATATCCAGGGCACTGTCAGAATGAAGCACCACAAATTGGCATAGTTCTAAACGCACTGATGCGAGCTGACCATCTTTTCTAGAGTGTGTTTATATTTGCGTATTGTAAGCTGTACTTTCTTTGATACAATCCTATAGTATTGTAATGCCTTTGAAATATGTGAGAAAGTAAAAATAAAGTCTTTTTATTTTGTTTTAGGGGAAAAGATGACAGAGGATGAGGTAGAAACGCTTCTGGCTGGACACGAGGATGCCAATGGCTGCATCAATTATGAAGGTATGCAGATGGGTGAAACTCAGTCAAGTATGCAATTAGCCTCGCCTTATTTAACCTTAAACCCATGTTCTCACCACAGAAGGAGATGCATGTCCCAGTCTGTGTTATATTATGTGCTGTGTGAATGATGTTGTGCATTAATGGATGCTGAAGAAGAATGCTTAATTAAATACTTGAAATGATACCGAATAACTGATGAGGGGGGGGAAATGCCATAACTCTTGCTGGTCTTCCACAGCTTTCGTTCGTCACATCATGTCTGGCTGAGAGCTGTCTTGGGAGTACGTCCTCCTTCTACAGTCAACACGTATACCATATGAAGCTACAATCCAGACTCTTCCTCCTATTCCTTTATATGGGCACACATGCCTGCACAGTATACCCCCTCCTACTGCTGTTTCACCACTGCAGCTATTTGGAAATGAAATTAGATATTGTAATCACACAGACAGGATCCAGTTTCGTTCAATTATTAATTAATCTGAAATGGATATTGAATGCTTATTTTGCTGTGGGTCCCTGTGAGGCATGGCGTGTCTGTAGTTGGAGAGTCTGATTAGAACTGGTGTTAGTGTGGAGGTTTTGACTCGTTGTTGAACACTCATGTTTCCGCAGCAGCAGCAGCAGCAGCTCTCTTTGGCCCCTGGCTGCAGCATGCTCGCGTCTGGCCCAGCAATGGGATGGCCACATGGGCACGGCTGGTTTAGAGGCACAGGGGTGACTGCACTGCCATGAAAGTAGTTTACAACATAGGGACAGTTTAATTGTAAGTGGGTTCCAGACTAATTCTGATAGTCTGATTGTCTTTTTTGGAGACTTTTGTTAAGGAAATACTTCAGCAATTTTCAGCCTATTGTCAGATGTTCAGCCCACATGTACACAGAGCGTCTGATATCTGTAATAGAATTAGCTGGTGACAGCTGTCAGGATTTTGGAAGTTTCATTCTGATTGGCTACTCGCACATCCATGTGTACGCACTTAAGTGTAGCACTTTTTTTTTGTTTGTTTATCATTGGATAAGAGGCAAATGATTACAAGCAGATAGTCTCTCTTCAGTCAAGACTGCTTTCACAAGTAAGATTGGAGTTTCTCAGCCTTTTCCCTCTCAGGACTTCTCACTAGAAAGCATAAAGGCCCACAGGAAAACAAAACTCAAACTTGGTTTTATTAATATTAACATTTTGTATTACATTCTTATTATTTTATCCTTTTTTATTGATTTTCATGATGAAATGCCATTTGTGGCCCACTACAGACCGCTATATGGATCTGTATTAATATATATCCCTCAGTACTGGCCCGAGGTCCACCAGAAGGTGTTTTACGGCCCAACTGTGGTCCGTGGCCCAGTGGTTTAGGAACCCTGGTTCAGTATATCATCTTTAAAAGCTATTCATGAGCATCTATTAGCTTTTAAGTGAACCATTATGCCAGCGAGAGAATCTCCTGCCTCTACACGTTGCACTAAAACAGCGGTCTGTGATTAGTTATTTTGCATGTTGGTCAGATGGCCCTCTCATCTCAGAGTAGGCAGTTCTTGACCATATTAAGGGATGAAACGCATTAGACTTTGTTACAATAGGATAATCTCGGTCTGCTACATCTGTAGGTTATGATCAGTTACTACAGGTGATAATTTTAAAAGTCTTCCTGTTCTTTTTTAAGTATAGGTGTATGTATTGAAATTATTGTCTGTGGCAATCAGCCACATGCTACAGATGTGGGTGATTGAGATTAGGTTTTATAAACGCTGAAGTTTTTCTTAAATGTGTCATCCTGTAGATATTGTTACGTTAAAGTCACTGACAGGTTAACAGGCATCTATTTTGTTGATGCTTTTGAAGCAGTGCAGTCACTTCTTTTACTAACCAACCAGTGGCAGTGAGTTGCTATTTTTTGCTGCTCTTATCCTCTTTTTCCTGATGAACGCTGATTCATAGCTGGGCTGTACAAGTTTTCACTACTGTTCTCCTATCTGTCGCCACTCTTGGCCAGTAGTTGAGGAAAACCTGGACGAGCTTCTCTAACTTTCTCTTGAATCCTAGACCTGGTCAAACTCCTAAGCTCTGGCTGAATAGAAGATGATCGCTCTCGCTGTTGCCTTCCCCTGGTACAGATGAGGATTACTGGGGGCAGTTCCCATCTGCAGCAAGCCACACAAGCCAAACAGCACTGAGGAAATGTAGGGCAGGTCAATTGGGTAATTAATGAATCAAAGAGCAGCCATGATCATGTCTGAACGTATAAGTACTCTTCTGTGTACTAGATCCTTTTCACTGATCCATTTAGCATAGAGTCTGAATGGGATATTGTGTGGCATGCTGTAGGTGGACCCCCTAGTCCATTTTCATCGTTTGTGTTTTTACATTTCTCTTTTTTTTTTCTTTTGCTTACAGAACTTGTGCGGATGGTCATGAATGGTTGAAGATAAAGAAAACAACAAGTTGTCTGTCTCATTTATGTGTGTGTGTTCTGTTACACATCTTTCTCCATTCCTTTTTGTTCATTCATTCCTCCTCTTTTGCTTATCCATTCCGGTCCTCCTCCCCCCATTTGCACTCATTTGGTTTTTATTTTCAGAAGTGCCTTTATCTCCCCCTGTTAAGATCCCACATGACCTCCTCACTAGTCTCCACACTGTCCAGTGACATTAAAAACCCTGTAGCTGCATGAAGGATGGCTCTTGTGTGCTGGCACTATCTGCAATAAAACCTCTTGATGCAGCACTTTGTCATGTTGTAACACCACCAGTATATCCCGTCAGTCCTCAGGCCCTTCAGAGTTGGACAGTACTTTAGCAGGACAGCTGCAACAAAGCAACCTCACTTTACGTACACATAACAATAACAGACAGTGTTATGCAGAAAACCTTAACATCCAAACTAAACAATTATGTTTCAGAAGTGCACCATTTTCAGTTTTAGTTCTCCTTTTTATGTTTGGACCTCAAAATAAAAATGTTTTAAAATGACTTTTCGTTGCATTGTAATGGCTTATTTTTGTCTTGCTTATTTCTCATGCATGTTGCTTGAAGTATGCTGAGATGTGGCCTATATCTTTTGATCAGGGGTGCCCAGAGTTTCAAAGAGCAATGTTTGTGGTGGCTAAGAGCCAAAGAACAATAAACAATATACAAATAGAAGAAGGTAGGTAAATAAATGTGTGTGTTAAATAGCATTCTACTATATTTTGTTACTAGAGTAGTTAAAAAATATAATTTTACAATTGAGCAAGTTACATACATGTACATTTGTTCTCTCACTGGCTGAGGGATTGGGGTTGGGGAACTTCCTGGCAGACCAAGTCAAACACCTTCATGGGCCATACTTTAGGCAGCCCTGCTTTAGACCCAATTGTCTTTAACCCATTCATGTCCAAAAACTAAATTAAGTACGATGAGTTAAAAACTCCACAGAACATCTTTTGAGTTGTCTAAAGTGATGAAATTCTGTTTTGGAAGAACATTAACCTTTACCCATTAGATATTTTAATTACTTATTATTATTTTACATGTACTTTTCATACTTACTCACAATCAGTTTCACATCTTGTATTGTTTTGGTTAAAATTGGTACTCCTGTATCACCAGAAACTGACATTTAATATATATAATGGTTAAAAACTTTTTGGACCAAAGGAAATTTCAGATTTGATATTAACGGGTTCCTGTTCAATAATTTTGTGTTTTGCTTGTAGGTTGTCTGTAACTAGCACACAACTGGCTACATGGCTTGTTACGAAAATAGGAAGCAGTATTTGGTCATTGAGAATATGAAAAAGTCAATTTTGACTAGTGTGAGCCTTCGGTTTTACTTTCCTTATTTTGCTATATTTTATTGTTTTATGTTACAATTTTCTAATTTTGCTCTCCAAACTGCATGGCACCGTCTTTACCGACAGATGGCGCCACAATCACATTTATTATCTATTCTACACAGATGAGCTTTTAAAGTTACACAGTGCCAAGGCACAGTACTACTTGTTGCATGTATTAAGTAAATCTAATCCATGTACAGTTATTAGTATGAGCCTGTCTGTACTTGTTCTAAACTTGTTCTTTGATAGGCCTCAACCCTGTGATATCGCCTTTAAGCATATTAGGTTGAGTTCAATGTGACATATAGCAATTGTCCTCATGCACACATAGATATGACTGTTTTGTGATTGATGGATTGGTTTTCTTATTGCTGTCTACTGATATATTTTTAGAATATTACTTTTAACTTTTAGCCTTTTTTTTACATCACATCTGATGCAAAATGGACAATAATAATGTAAGAGGAAGAATAATTATAATACATTTCTCAATAATATTATTACTATTTATTTACTTACAAGTACATGTTACTACTAGATTCTAGTTTCTAACTCCACTAGGATTCTCTGTGTTCATGCCATATTTCAGGTGGCATGCCCTGTGCAAATATTAGGGCAGTGCAACAGTGAAATGAATGCCCTGTGCATTGTGAGTGTTGTTCTATTACTGACATTTCATAGCAGTGAGTTTTGATACAAGAACAAATTCATTGTTGCCAATTAATTACCACACATCGTACAATGACAGTATATTGGCAACATTGGCTGGTTTTAAATACATTTAACACCCAAGATGCAGTCAGTTTTAAGTATTTATAACTATAAACAGTTTCTCTCTGGATCTATCCATTCTGTGTCATTTTGGATGTGCACTGTTGCTCAGTTAGAAGTACACAGACACATTAGAGATTAATGAGCAAGTTTGATAATCCAGTTAAGTGCTGCACTCTGCAACATGATACTCGCATGAAGTATTACAACATACCTTTTATGAGTACTAAAATGTGTGTGTGGAGGCTGTCAGTTATTTGAGAAGACTTTCAAGGCATCAGGCCTAGTTCAAGCCAGTTTGCAGTTATGCTGTGTAGATTTTGCTAAGAAAAAGGAAGGATGCATATAACTGTTCAGATCCACCTGTCATGAGTCTTGCGCTGCAACCTGGAAATTGATGGACACCGTGATGTATTTTATTAGTAACTTGTTAAAGTTGAGACGCACTAAATTGCCCCTAGGTGTGAATGTGTGTGTGATTGTATGTGTCTATGAAGCGAATGGCAACCTGTCGGGGGTACTTGCTGCCTTCCACTCAGTAACTGCTGGGATGGGCTCCGGCACCCCCTCACAACCCAGAAGGACAAGTGACTTAGATGATGTGCGTGTGTGTGTGTGTGTGTGTGTGTGTGTGTGTGTGTGTGTTAAAATCGACTCCTTTGATTATCCGGTAAGCTCAGTGGTCAGTCCAGGGACTGCGATAACAAAAGGCCAGTTTACAGTGACCTTCTGTCTGTATGAAGGTCAGATGTCAGATCATTATCTGGTAAAAAATAAGACTATTTTAGGTGTTACATTGTTCACTGATACGCTTCTACACATCACTATAAGAAAAGGGCTCAAAATCAGATATATTCTGCAGTCTGGTCAACATACATCATTTGTTTTCACTTGTGCAATTTTTGAATGTATATTGTCCAAACATTGCTCTAAATTAAGATGCAAAGTGGTTTGAATGCGCCACTCTATAAAACCTTACCCAGTCAGCTGAAGAGTTATGTGCCACTAAAAGCTCCATCAGATAAAGTTATTACGTGAAATAGTTATGAATACATTGTCTGTTGCCGGAGACATTGGTAATGTTGATATATGATTTTGGCATAAAACATAGTTTTCATATCTATTTATAATGTAGAAGTTCATGCAGGGTGCTGCAAGGCAAACAGCCCCAAAAGAAAACTTTTTTCTGATTTACCCCTCCTTTGCCATTGTTAATATTACCAATATGACTCAGAATAGTATATTAAACACATAAAATGTAAAGTAAATATATGAAAATGCCTGTATTTGTGTTGTAGACACAGGGACCCCTGGTTCCTATCACCACCACTGTAAATAAATCAATACGTTTCTCTACAACGAGCTATTTTACATCAAACCACTCTGAATGACGTTGTTTACATCTCAGAGAGAACTGCAAAGAAATTTTGAAAAAAATATGGAATTCCTGTTTTACCTTAATCAGTCAAAACTGCTGTTGCTCCATTTATTGTAAAGTTTTAATGCAGAAGACATGCTAAAATCAGACACACTTCACATGGGCATCTATAGTGGGCTTCACAAGTCTGAGAAAATGCTTCCATTTTGCATTTCTATGCATTCTAAGTTTTATTTTAATTACAAATTACATTATTAGCATAACAACCTGAGTGAATAGCAGAATTTTTAAAATATTTACATGAATTTCAGAATTTTTTTAGTGTTTGGTCCCTTTTGCCTTTTGCCTTAATGGCAGCGTACACCCGAGCTGGCACGGATTCTGATCAATAACAGTGACAAAAATGTCTCTGACAAGTAGATCAAATCCACCTTACAGTCGTCGGAGCATGAGCTTCAATGGAAATAAGACTAAAAAGACCTGAACTTGGTTTATATCACACATTTGCTGAAATTTGAATATTGACCTAGACATAGTGCAGAATCTTCAAGATTTCTTTGTTATGTTTGTTTTATCATTTAAACCTGGAAATGAACAACAGAACCTTTTAGAATAAAAAAACAATTGTGAAAAAAGATGATTCTCAATGTGATCTCAGACATTTGGACCCAACTGTATGTCATTGTATCTGGAGAGTTCCTCTATGTCCAAATGAAAGTCAAACATATATCACTGCTGTTGGGACAAAACCTTGTGCATCTGTTTTGTTGTTTTTCAGTTTTTGACATAATTTTAAAATGCCTGTTATCCTTTACATTGTGTGTAAATTTCATGCTGAATGGATCAAAAGAAATGGCTGAAAATGACATGGGAAACGAGTCTGGTTCCATTGACTTACATTACAAGCAAAGAAGGTTTTTTCCTTTTCCTGTAAAGTTACCGTTTTGGAGATATGAGTTTTTGTTCCGACAGCAGCGATATGGAACATACATAAAATAGATCAGCTACCAGTGAGTCCAGAGAGCTCTATGTGAGATTCTAACATTGATTCCAGCAACTCAGATCACTGAGATAACTAAGTTAATTTTTCCCCGCCTGCTAGTGCATGGTGATGTAATCAAAACTTGGTACATTTTAGGGTCAGGTAAGTCACTACAATTCAATTAAAGATTCCAGGAAAACAATCTTGTCTTTTTAATAATGTGGTATGATGAATCACGCTTAATATGACCAGGGGCTTGAAATAATAAGAGAAAAAGATTTTGATTTTAAATTTAAGGTTGACTTTAAGACAGCAAATAGTAACCATAATTGAACCTCGACTGCTTTATACATTAAAGTTTTGCAAACAATCTACTCCTCCATTCACTGCCTCTAACATCTATTTATCTATTTATAAAATCTTTATATGCAATTTAATTCCTTCATTAGAAGGCCTTTAAAAGTAGCAAAGCTTGTTTTTAAAGGAATGCTACAGCTTTACTTAACCTAAGGTCTATCTGCTTCACCCTATGGTATGATTGATTACCACAATCATTTTAATACGTTCTTTGTATTTAGTAAAATAATAGAAAACTTGTTCACTTGAAATACATTTATAATAGAAGCAAATGGGCAAATGTCTAAAGCAATGCACAGTAATCCATTATACTACAGGCGTGACAGATAGAATGAAAAGTGTTCTAAACACAAACCAAATAAATTAGTCATGTAGCTCAAACTTTTTGTTCACAAGAAGTAAAACTTTAGGAGGGAAGAAAACACATTGCTTGTTTAGTCTTTACACTTTGAGACACAATGCAAGGTATTTTTGCCCACAGCATATGCTTCTGCTTTCATCATCCGAAGCCCAGACGTGCTTGCTAAGGTAGGATTTTCAAAGTCAACAGTTTGTTTGGGTTGTGTGGCATGGCTGAAATATCGGCTATAAGATCCTATGATGCATTGTGAGGCGGGAGCAGCCCATCAACAGCTCGCTGACCTTTTCCTCATCTCCTCACAACCAGTCAGAACTATGCCCCCTCATTAGATACCACAGCTATTTGTGTGTGAGCGTATGTGTGTGTGTGAGAAGGCCAGACACCAGGTATCATACCAATGGTGAATAGGTCCTCTACTAATTACTGAATTCATTCTGCTGGATGTGTGTGCCTACGTGCGGCTTTGGCGGCCGTGCACTTGTGTGAATGTGCTGGAGGTAAGTGAAGTGTATTGATTATTTTAATCCGCCTATTTGTGAGTCTGTGATCCTCGTGGCTCTGCATTCGACAGGGGAATCACTAATGGGCCTCAACGCAGCCCGTCTCAGACCTCTCCCCGTCCAATTAACTTTCAACTGGAATCTGGCAGGAGAGAGCGAGGAGGCTGGCTGCAGACACACTGCGAACCCCCCCCCCACACACACACACACACACGCTCCCACAGGCAGCGGATTCACTGAAGCCTCCAGGTCCAGAATGTCATTACCTCTAGCTTTTAATTAAAGATTTTTCCCTTCTTTTTAGCTCGACACAGGTAGAGGCCGAGGTCCTGCTGCTGTTTTTTGTGTTTGTAGTTGTTGACTGTTGATGTTTATTTATTCTCTTCTTTACAAAGACACTATTTCAGGAGATCATCATAATTCACTGAATGAAAGATCCACACCTCATGGTTGTATTGTTAACAGAATTCCAATGCAGTATCCTTAAATTCCAATATTAACCCATTCATGTCCATATCTGAAATATTACATTTCCTTTGGCCCACATGTTCTTTGAGCCTTTTCACAAATCTGAAGAAATATAATTAATTTGTCTTAGTTTGTCATATTTAATGCAGGCTTTTGGTCACATGATCCTACATATTTGTAGGTCAACCTGAAATCAAAATTGACCTTTTTACTCATTGTTTTACATTATTACTCCCTGGAATATTAAGCACCATTCGTCATACTGCATCATTCAAAAGACAAAATTCTTGTTTGTCTATAATTTTCCATCAAAATGTGACTTTTAAGACACTTTTTATTATACCAGTCAGCACCACCCCCACCTATATAGAAAGAAGCTCTCAGCTCAGTTTCATTAGGAAAAACATCACAATACAGAAGTAAAAATGCATTTTCCAATTTAAGTCAAATCAAAATTTGATCATGAATAAAAGTATGAAAATGTAATGTAGTCAGAAGATGTACATCTAAGGTATAAACATGCAAAATTGCATCACTTTATTCCAAACAGAAAATGTTCTGCAGCATTTTTCTTCAAACTAATTTTTCCATAATTTAGTTGTTGGATATGAATGGGTTGATAATTTATATCACATATATTTACATCTGATATAAATAAATCTGATAATATGAGTCATCTTTGTATTAGCATCGACTTTTTTATAGAAACCAAATTAGAAACAAATACATCAAACAACATGTTCAACTCACAAAGCGTGGCCCTATTCAAACCAGCTTTCGGAATCCAATAGGTTATGTACATATGAGAAGAGAAAAAGGGTCAGTGATATTTGAACATTCTTTATTATAGAGTCGGTTTATGAGGAAGAAATGTGGCTTGATTTATAGATGTATTGATGTCTTGTGTATTTGCATGTCTTTGTATTTGCACATGGCTTGACTTGTCTTGTGACAACTTCTACCAGGCCTTGTACAGAATTACTATAAGATTTCCACAATCAGCCATAAATATCCTGCTGATGTGCGATGTGTGATGTGGAATGGCACACAATTCAGAAAAGACAGAAAACACTGCAAAAATGCTGAGATTTCTTATCAATGAAGCATTTCTGCACAAAAAGGAAGACACTGTCGCTCACAACTCACACACATACGAGCACACACACAAACACACTCAGGAGGGCCTGATGTTTCAAACACTTTGTTGTATATAATCTCTGAAATAAACAATTTACAGAAAACCTAATTTAATTTTCTAGACAACTTTATTGTTATCTGACCGTGGTCACTTTAATTAAGCTTCAACTGATTTTGCTGGGATAAAATAGTTCCAGATGATTTGTGAAATGTTCATAGATGTAATAACACTGGACAATTTAAAGTGCTATTAATAGACACTATGGAAATGTAAGATCAATATAAAAGACTGTATAATACTGACACGATACAATTACTTTATTCTTTTGAAAATGATACAGATAAATGCTAACAGATATTTATAATTTTTCAAAGCTTATTTAATATTTCAAAGATACATTAATTTCTTCATTTATTTATTTGGCAGTCAATAGATCTGTATTATCACATGACAAGTATGTAACGCACCACGTGCAGCTACTTTCTGCAATAAAACAATTTGGTTTAAGTCAAAACTGATGCATTATTTTTACATGTACCACCTTGTTTGCAAAAATAGCCTCCTGTTTTGGGCAATGCCCATAAGAAGCTGTTTAAACACAAAAATAAAGGAACTACTAAGTCTTATGATTAAGACATTGAATGTAGTGAAGCTAGAGATGGGGTATTATCAGCCTAAGTCAATATATTAATGTTGTAGTCTGGGCCGGTGTGCTTGGACATATTGGAAATCCATGCTCACGCAGCTCAGAGTCGTGGCCAGCCATTGTGTGTTCGATCTTACCCCCTGTATATCCACGCGCACAGGCCATATTTTCAATTCCACACAGACAGCCAAAGCGGTCACTTTAAGTCAAATTAATTGAACCAGGGGACTTAGATTAATCACAGTCCCACAGTGGTGTGCAGGCGCATATATATGTCATTGTATCGAATTCCCGTAGTGCGGCGCTATTCAATCAGTCCGCTTGTTAGTGAAAATAACCCCTGTGAAATAATTCCCACCAAATCTCAGCCATCTGTAACAGCTGTGTCCGAATTCAGCAAAGCATGTTAGGCCTTTGCCTTTGCAACCTTGTGTGCAACCTCCAGCAGAAATCCAAATACAATCTCACTGAAGTGAATTAGGCTTCCGATGACACACAAAAATGACTGGACTTCAACACGTACACCTAATGCTGCAAACACTGAGGAAGGGTAGCACTCCGGTAGATATATTTCTATACGCAATATCTATTTTACACTTTTTTGGAAACTTGTAGGTGTATAGGTATAGCATATATCCATAATTTGCATACACATACAAACAATTTGTCAGAAAATGCACTTGCTCAATGAAAGTAAGAGTTTGCTCATGAGATCATGTCTGTGAAGCCCTTCTTCCAGCCAGCATCAAACCATGTGCATGTCTCTCCTTTCAAGTCTATTCAATATATGGATGTGTGTGTGTGTGTGTGAGAGAGAAAGAGGGAGAGAGAGTGTTTGAGAGTGTTTTGAGCAGCATTGTGGGGTGACAGGGCGGTAGGTTTGGAGGGTAGTCAGTCGGGGTAGATGAGGAACCCGGAGAAGGTGCTGTATTTGTTGGTGTTTCCCCCGTGTACTTTGCCCCCGTCCAGCTGTACGCACACCTCGTCCCCTACGTCTAAATGCAGGATCACGCTGTTGGAGGCATAGTCATAATTCTGATCTGCGTCCTGGGCGATGGCGCTGGCCCTCACCTGTCACACAGAGAGAAATAGAGGCTCGGTTAGAGGAAGGCCAGAGAGACGCTCACACCTCACCCTGTCACTGTCTCTTAGCACAGGCAAAACAACCAGGGCGAATTTACAAAAATGGTTCTTTAAAGAACTGAAAAGTTCTTTAGGGAACAAAAAGTGCTTATTTTATAGCATTTCTCCAAAGAAATTTTTTTTGGTTGCATTTGGCACCTTTATTTTTAAGAGTATACACAGCTCAGTGGTGGTTTTGTGGAGGTCCTGACCATGAACGGGGTAAAGGAGGGCTAAAGAAAGTATGCAGAGAAACAGATGGACTACAATCTGTAATTGTAGAACTACAAAGTGCACCTATATGGTAAATAAACCTAACAAAATAGACATCGAGTGTACATACAAGACAGGTGTAACTAATAAAGTAGCCAGTGAGTGCATAGCTAGATAATTAAAGGTCATACACAAAAAGTCATAAATAGAAATAACTTAATTCAAGTAATTATGTGTTTATTAAATGTCCCAAGCTCAACTCTTGTTGTATGAATACTTTCCTAAGGCCTTTCCCATTTTCACACATAGGCTAGACAGAGACCACGGGTTGCATGAGATGTTGGAAGTAAAAGTTGGAAACCCCATTTTTTCCATAAAAAAGGTGAAAATTAGACAGCCCCACCGCACATTTCGGCATAAATAAAATACATCACAATGACAATTTTGTCTTTTAGTTTCCTTAATTTTGGCAATAATTGTGTAGATGTAATATAATTCACATGAAAATGATATACACCTTGAGCCATCAGCTGACCTATTCATGCTCTAGCCAACAATGCGTTCCTTTGGAGTGAATAAGTGGGGCCAAAATTTTATTCAATATAGTGAATTTATTTTGGAGTTGACATTTGCTACATAATGTTGAGTGTCCACGTTAAATGCTAAGCCACCAAGCTGGCAGGTAGTTATTGGGAAATAGGCAGGTTGGAAACAACGAATTTGCCACCACAGTAATGCTAGTTTGATTACACAACAACAACAGTCACCCAATCTGTCGTAACAGTTTGTACACATTCAAAATAAATTTGAGATAAATTACAGACTATAAATTTCCATATTTTCACAAAAAAAAATTAGTTACACATTTCATTTTCTCATTAGGTTGAATGAACTTGTCCAAACTTGCGGCAATTGCTATGAAGAGATGTATGTGTGGGCCAAGAATGGAGAGGTAAATTCATTATTTTTCAGTGTAGTGTCCAGTAGCCAGATATATGATACTGACAATACTACTACTGAATTATGCTAGGCATGAGTGCTCACAGGTCCCCTAAATAACACACAGTATCTGTGGCATAAATCTATCATTATTTGGTGATCTCATTTTATAAATTCCTCCTAAATTGTATGTCTTATAAAAGAACTTTTTAAATATTCTTTGATGTATCATAGCATGGTTTTTGTGGGCTGCCTCACAACGAGTAGTAAAGTGAAGTGGAACAGTTTCATACTTTCTCGTATTGATCTGTAATGCCAGTGGTCGTATGCTCCAACCTGTGGAATAAGGCTTGCTGTGGAGGGATGTAAACACACACTGTATCTCTTTCCAGTATCGACCTGTTGAATTTAATGCAAGAAACACATCCTGTGCACAGGCTGAGAGGCTGCACTCCACAGAATCAGACTTATTTAAATTCTGCATCAAGGATCCGTTGTATTGACTCCCTGGAGTGGATCTATTGCTTGTTTGTTAACATTTTAAATTGGGCTTAGTCGTGTGGACACACAGACATATACGCTTGAATAGACTTACAATTAAGGAGGTGAAGAGACCTTTGATAAAACAGGCAACATAGTAAGTTTACAGGATACATTTTTACTTACTATGATTTAATTTCATTTCTGTCTCATGGATTTTTTTTTTTCAGCTGAAAAAATGGGAACATTTAACAGCAGTCTTAAAAAAACATCAACATTAAAAGATTCAGGGGCATATTTGCTAACATTTTGCGCAAAACCTATTTTGACATTATAAAGTGGCTGTCGCGATTTAATAAAGACACAACAGTCTTTTGGCACCCATAATAAGATCAAAGGTATGTCTGCTATTTTTGCTTCATTACATATGCATTTATGGGTGTTTTCCCTGTAAATGGGTAAAATACTATGAGGATATTATTAGAAGGAACCACCTATTTTGATTTACCAAAGCTGATAGTTAGTATTGGCTGTACGCTGTTTAACACCAGTGACAAGCTTGTCTTGTTTTTGCTACCAACATAGCACCAAAAAACATACAAAAGTAACTGCCTTGTCACTTTATTCTCAATTTAATTAAGGAAAAAGACCAAAAAATTAAAACAATTTTAAAAAACAATAAATTGTACAGGACTTTGAAAGAGCAGGTTTTGCCTAAATAATTATTTGATAGTTTTCCAAATGATTGTTAAAAGCATATATTGAAACTGCAGTCCCTGCTTTACTCAAACTAATTGTTGATTTGTGGCAGAAATATCACAGACATTTTTTGATGCACTGCATGTAGCCAAGAGGTTATGCTCAAAATCATACAGTTCCCAAATAATGCATTTGGCACAGAACTCAAGTTCAGATCATCCCTCCAGCTGAGAATGAACATGTTGTTTGAAAAAGAAATGGTAAAAATACTTATTTTCTCAAAATAATTACTTATGACAATGAAATAATCATATCTACTTTCTCAACGAGTAAGCATTTTCAAGTCATGGAAGTTCTTAGATTATCAACCTGCTAAACTGGCCTTTTAAGTTATTGAAGATGCTTCTCAAGATGGTATATTCATTTTATTTTAAGTCTTGGCCATTTAAAATAAACTAAATCACCATATTTTTTCACTGAACAGAATTAACATTCTGAAGAATTCTGGTTATCTTTTGCTCTCTTCTAAATATTTCCAAAAAGCAGTATATCCGCCGACAGATGTCAGACATTGATTGTCTGGTGCTATGCTCAATGTCCGACCATGGTGTCACCGCTCAATCTCTGTCAGGCGTTCCAGACAATCTTCCCTAATGGAGCTTTGGGAAAAATATATAAACAGAGACAGCCACTGACTTAAATTCATTCTATATAGTTCTTTTTCTTTGCAACAATGTTCATACATGAATGAAAGATATGTGATCACATTATGATCATATTAATGTTAACAATGTATTCAAACATTAACAATGTGAAAAATAGGGTGAGCCTTTTTCACTGATGGTGATGACAATGTGGATTTTCCATTATAAAGCATGCTGGTGGACATCACTTTAGTCTGTCAACCTAAAACACAAAAATTAACACAGGACCTCTCCTTCAAATATACAAATATACAGATACATAACACTTGAAAATCTAGCCTCATACTTGGCTAACCTCATTTCTCACAGCAATAATCTAACAGGTGCACTCAATTACAGTCTCTGGCTGCAGAACAGCTCAGTCAATAATTTGTAAATTGAGTGGATTGCCTGCTGTTTAGTTATGTATAACTGAATACCGATGTGTGTTCTTAAAGATTTCCCTTTAAGAATCAACTCAGTTTCATTTGTAAGGATAAGACTACAAATGAAATAACACCCGAATATGCTGAATATTGCTTCTAAAATTGTTATATGTTAATGATTTGACATGTAAACGCAGATGCACACAAGAACTTTTTGAGAAAAATTGAGATTCCAAAAGGGCAGAAATATTGAGCGGCTACGAGCTGTCAGCTGAGGCAGTCAATATAAGGAATGTGTCATCCGTGTGTGTGACAGTGATGGCCTGGCCTGCTCTCGCCATCGACGGCCAGCCTATGTCATCCTGCTCATTAGTTTGGCTAACTGGGAAAAGGGCCATTCTCTCCCTCAGGCACACTCGCAGGCTCAATACCAAAATGCAAGTGGTCACTTTAATTAGAAGACACCCAGCACTGAACAATTAAGCCCTTTTCTCTCTTCCCCCATTGATTCTTGCCCTGTATTTTTGGGATGGTTCCATGACGTCTGCTGGCCAGCAGCAGGCATAGGGCTCAATGCACAGCAGCACATACTTCGCCCGTTCGATGTTTTCTGGCATTTATCAAATATAAGTGAAATGAAAGCTTGTCTTGTGGGGGAGCAGGGTGGGAGATGTTTCAGGATTACAGTGGACTGCATCGGAGATGGATATTGACGTGGGAGCGGGCTGCTTGTGAAACAGCATGCTGGCTTGATCTCGGCACTGGCTGCGAGGGAGGACCCTCGGGCCTGCCGGGGGCTTGTTCTGCCAGCACTTTTCATTACAGGGGCACCATTAAACGAAGGGGAAGGATGGAAAGATGGAAGGGGGGACAGAAAAAGCAGAGCGCAGCTGCAGTGACGTTTATACACAAGCAGAGATGTGAAGCGAGAGACAGACAACAGACGAGGCGAGAGGAGAAGAAGACAGAGAGCAAGAGAGAAAGAGAGTGAGAGAGACAGAGAGAAGAGAGAGAGACTGGGAGGGGGTTAGGATAACAGACTGATCAAGCGAGGCTATTTTGTGGGACCGCCGAGATGTGAGGGTATATGAAGTCTTGTTTTTATCAGTTGCTGCTGTGCTCCAGCGGTAATAAAACTGACAGGACTCATTCTCTGTGATATACAGACCTCTTAGAGCGGAGACAATGGAAAAGTAGCTCTTAAACTTACCTAAGGGACTGAGCACATAGCAGGGGAGGGAGTGCGGGGAAGCCAAAAGGCTTGGAAATTGAACATTTATTGAATAGCTGTGTTGTCCCCCAAGGGGTGAACAAGATTAAAGTGAGACAAGCAATCATTTTACTTGTTCACAGTTGTAGTTAATTGGCATCTTGCTCAAGCACTTTATATCTATGGCTCAAGAACAGACCTACCATAACATATTAAGTGATTATCGCTATTTCTATAGTAAATGACGATGGTCAACATTACGGAATTTATGTGTTCAAATCATCAGCTGGCCTAAAAGGCCTCTCTGCATATCTAATTAACTTCTTTGATCATTATTAG